TGTACGGGTAAAGAGTACGTGCCTTCAGAACCCCGCCTCCACTTGCACGTAAGACTCTAGCGGAGAGCGAGAGTGTGTGTGTGTGTGTGTAGCATGTGTGTGTCACATGAGAGACGTACGGGTACGACAGGTCATATCCGTACAGCTCCGACGTCAACCTGTCGGCACACTGCGGGCAAGAGGCAAAGCGCGGAGGCGATTCCAAACGCGGCAGGGTAAAGCCTGTCCGTATGTCCATTTGTGATACGGGCGAATAGGGCCGTTTTTGTCGAAGGAGGGTGGGCAGGCGACAGTAGCGTGTGACGAAAGCGAGGGGGGTCGGTGATGGGGGTCTGCACAGGGCATATTCATAGGCTGACCAGTGTTCATACTCTCACGGATACCCATCCTATCAATCGAAAAAATTGAAAAAATGAGAACCGAAAGACGAAGTGATTACGACAGTCACTTCGAGTTCCAATATCATCAGCAAGCTATCACAAAGTGGATAAGGAATGAAGCAACTATGCTATTCGATAAATCAATTCCAGTTGCAATACCATCAGCAAGCCAGGAAAAACGAAAAAGAAGGCGAAAATACCGAGGCGCTCTCACTTATCGAATCGTCATTCCAAGTCCCACACCCATGCATCCCACTGTTCTATCCCAGAGCGCGCATCCACACATCGACCGGTGTCCTTACTTTCATGGATGCCCAAAACGAAAATCAAAAGTCGGGGCCATTTGATTATTCCAATATTATCAGCAAGCCATACAAAGTGGATAAGAAACGAAGCGATCACATTACTCGAAAAATCTTTTCGGGTCACAGTACCATCAGCAAGCCAGAAAAAAACGAAAAGAAGGCGAAAATATCGAAGCAATTCCACTTCTCGAGTCATCATTCCAAGTCCCATACCCATGCATCCTACTGTTCCATACGCAAGGTGACGTTTGGAAGTGGGCGGTGAAAGGTCATCGGGAAGGGAGAGGAGCATGATCCACCGAGGAGAACGGGCGAGGAGAGGGAGAGCGAAGAAGAGGGGTAGTGTCGAGAGGAACGGTGCGAAGGACGGAGAAGGGGGGAAGGAGGAGGAAGAGGGGGGTATCGTCGACACCAAGCATGCAATGCTAGCAATTCCAATCAGCCCAATCCATTGTTTGTAAAAAAAGGAAACCATCGCGATGAACAACATTATTATCGCCAAATTTGCTCGTGAAAAACGGGGAAAGGGAAACTCACAGGGAACTCACAACCTAGCGAGGGAAATGAAGGGAGGGGGAGGGAGGAGGAGGGAGGAGAAGAAGAGGGGGAAGGGGGGAAAAAAGGAGAGGCCCTGCTCTAGCTCTATCCTCCAGGTCTTACGCGCTTCTGTATCGGCGTAGACCATCTCGCCAGATTGCAGGGAGGGTGTGGTAAAAACCCTGAAGCGCTTTTCTACCCCATGCCACTTGGACCGTCATCAGAGGGGGGGCATCTCCTGGGAGACGAGGTGGGGGAGGAGAGGCATGAGGGGGGAGAAGGTGAAGGAGGAGACGGGTGGGGGGAGGGGGGTGAAGATTCGTGATGGGGATAGGGAGGGGTGTGGGGGCATAGCGCGGGTAGAGGGGGGGAGGGGGGAAGAGAGTAGACGAAGTAAAGAAAGGAGAGGAATGAAAAAAGGAAAGGAAGGCTAGAAAAACGTGCGAAGATGTCCCCGCCGCCATCTTGGTTTCCATTCTCGTTGTTGCGCTCTATCCAGCCGCCTCCTCCAGCCAACCCGAATGAGCGAGCAGAAAGCACAAGCAAAGGCAGCCAGCAAGAAGAAGCGACACGAAGCAGATCGTGCCGGCCACAAGCAAGGCAAAGCCTCTGGTCGACGTACGCAGGAGCACGGTTTCGGAGAGGCATGCGGCAAAAAGCAGACCTGCCAGCGCAAGGTTGGGAAGCAGGGCGAAAAGCAGCAAAAGGGCCAGATACACGTCCAGTGCTGGTGAGCGCGGGCAGTAGCTGGGCATGGCGATTGCCGCGGGGCAAGTCGCGGCGCACTGCATGACTAACAGTCAGAGCACAGGGGGGAACGGGATCACAAGCGTGCTTCACTCCAGGAGTGTTACCACTTCCTCCTGCTCAAGCCGCTCCTCCTCTTGGTCCCAGTCGGCGAAAAAATCCATGCTGTCCGCCGTAATGCCAAAAATTCTCTCCCCCGCCAAAACCGGATCGCCACCCGTTCCTACCGCTACCGTAGCTGGTTGTTGCCAGATAGGCCGATGAATAGTCCTACCGTCGCCGACTCCTAATATAGTCATTACTCCGCTGCCCCCAGCCCGCGTCTAAAGAAAGCTTCGTATTCCATCCCTACGCTTAGTGTGCGCATCCGACGGTACTTACTAGTAAAAAAAGAGAACAGGAAATGAAAAAAAGGAAAAGAAAAAAAGGAAAAGAAAAAAAGGAAAAGAAAAAAGGAAAAGAAAAAGAAAAGGAAACAGGAAAAGAAGAACGGTGGAAGGAAAAAAAGGGGGAAAGGAACAGCCCAAGGAGGGAGTAAGCCAGAACGTCATTCGTTGGCATGTGGGGGGTGCGTGTGCGTGAGGGTCAATCTGTCTTGGCCCTCTCATGGGCGAATTCGTCCCTAGGTCCGCATGCGCCCTACCCTACCCCGCTGGGTCGAGCCCGGGGACACCCGTTGGTCCGTCCATCGAGGCGCTTATTGCCAGAAAAAATCAAAAAAAGAAAGAAAAGAAAAGAAAAAAGGAAAAAGGAAAAAGAAAAAAGAAAAGAGAAGAAAGAAAAAGGAAAAAAGGACGAAAAAAGAAAAAAAGAAAAAAAGAAAAAAGAAGAAAAGAAAAAAGAACGAAAAAAAGTAAGGATGGGAACGAGAACAGGGGGAGGGGGGGGAGGGGGGTTCTACTCTTGCGGGGGCAACTCTCCCGCTAACCTCCTTCCGATCCTTATTTGTCCGTCCAGCCATCGCCCGCATAGACATGTGCGCGCGCGCGCGCGCGTGTGTGTGTGTGTGTGTGTGTGTGTGTGTGTGTGTGTGTGTGTGTGTGTGTGTGTGTGTGCCTTAGAGAGAGAGAGAGAGAGAGAGAGAGAGAGAGAGAGAGAGAGAGAGAGAGAGAGAGAGAGAGAGAGAGAGAGAGAGAGGCTGGAATGCAGGCGAACGGGTAGAGGATCTGCACGCAAGTATTCTGCATGTATTCTTGAGGGGATATCGTGGTTGGTATGCTGGTTAGATTGTATGCAGACAACTGACCGATTCTGTATGTAACTGCTGATCGTCTTTATTTATTTATTTATATTTATATTTATTTTCATTTATTTAGCTGATCCTCTTTATTTGACACTGGGTTTGAGTTGTTTGTTTGATTGTCTGTTTGCTTGTTTGTTTCTCTGAGAAGACAATGTCTAAACAATGTCTGTCTGTTTGTCTGTCTATTTAGTTGAGACATTGTTTAATTGCAACAGTTTGTTTACCTGACACTGGGTTTGAGATGTACTTCAATCTGACATTGTTCTTATGTTTGTTGAAGTTTGTTGTTGCAGACCACAGCCGTATTTATAATTTGAATCCAAGCTGTTGCAATTTGGTTCAGGTTTGTTGCATGATGAATGCAAACCCTAACCGATCTCGATGCCAGCAGAAGGAGAGCGTGTTCGCAGTGCCAGCAGAAGACCTATCAATGCGGACACAATGACGAGGAAGCCTCCTACGTTGGCCGGGTTCTGGCCCCTGTCGGTTTAATAACGTCAACGACCTTACTTGTAATGCACACATCCTCATTGGTTGGTTGTGTCCATTAACCGGGTTGGTTGTGTCGATTAACCGGGTTGGTTGTGTGCCGCGCTTCGCGTGATGACCGATCTAAATAGGCCGCGAGGCGGTGGTCTCAGTCAACGTTACGCCCCCACTTCGTTCAGTACCCATAGCCGGCCGTTCGGCCAAGACAGCGCCATTTGGCCCGCGCACAATCGCATGCGTAGGAATCGTTTCTGAGGTTGTCTCCTCCCTCCTGCGTCCATCGCCACCTCTGCTTTCGCCTCTGCCTAGTCCTTCATCTTCTCAGCTCTCTGTGATCGGTAGCTGGCGATTTATACATTTCACGATTGCGGATTTGATGGTCTTCAGTTATGTTGTTATTATCGTATCATTTAAGAGATTGCGGATTTGATGTCTTAAGTTATGTTGTTATTATGGTATCATTTAAGAATTTTAAGTTGATTTAACGACGATTGCCGACAATGATCCTTGTTCTACCATTGACAGCGGATTCTACGCTTTTGTATCAAAAATACTAGGCATAGTAAAGGGCTCAGTCGTCTTCTATGATGGAGACAAACTGGCAGTGATCTGGTTTGAGGGGGCCGTTCGCCGTTCGCCGTTCGGCAGATATTTGTTGTTGTTGCGATCAAGCGGAGCCGTCTTCACCTGGACCCTGAGTTGTGAAGACCATACGGACGTCGTTTTATTGCACCACTAACTAACAATCCGCTCGGTTTGACGAGAGTTTTTTTTTTTTTAATTTTAAACACACACCCCCTGCAATGCTAGTGGTGCTGGTAAGCGGTTTGACGAGAGGTTACGATTCGTGTCGTTGCTGCTTGGACGGAGATTGCAATATTGGCAGGAACGGGATCTGCATTTGAAGAAATGTTCGGTCAGAATCTTAGTGTTCGTACTGCCCCTGCGAGCATGAAGGGGGTGATAGTATAATTACTAATTAGTATTGTCATTAATCAGGATTTCTTTCTGCAGCTGAAGAAAGGGGAGAGTATTTTCTTTCTATGTGTCGTCGCTGCAAGGATGAAGATGATGATATTTTCATTACAAAGAACTATCTCTGCTTTTTTTTTTCAAGAAAGAGAGGTTAGAGCAGTGATTTACTGTAACTGTTCGTGTTTCTTACCGCGGGCACTTTGAGGAATTTGGTTGTGGAGCCAGACCAGGTTCTCAAAGTGTTCTTACAGCCAGAGCAGGTTCGAAACGTGCAAGTGCAGGAAAGCTTGTGCGAACACGTTGAGAAATCTGGTCGTGGAGCAGCGCGGCGGCACCCTCTCTGCCTCTGCCAATGCGATTGGCCGACTGCCGCCCTTTGGCCTGGAGGCTGTTTGAAGATGTGATTGCAGTGCCTGAGGTGTAGAATGCTCACTGGGCTTGGGGCTGCCTTCCATCTGGTGAGTGAGGATGAGAGAGTTGAGCATTCGAGGACAGGAGGACGGGCTGTTTTGAGAGTTACATGGTCTGCGATCCGAACATGAAGAAGGTTGGTCTACCGGCGATGGCGATGCAGGGGAGATCCGGTCCTTTAGCTCCCATGAATGGACGGTTGGAGGCCGGTGATCAAGGGGGCCCCTCGTCAGAGGCACAAAGGCGTGTCTTCAAGTCCGGACCGCTGACGCCCATGTTGCCGAAAACCTACACGGAGAACCCTAGGGGTGTGTCATATGCAGAGTTTCACGACCGGCCACCGCCGGCCCACGCAGGAAGGAAAGAAATAAGGTTTGGAGGAGCCAGTGGAAGCGGAGCAAGTGGGGCGGTCACCATCGGCAGTGCTATTGAGTCGCAGAGATTTCGCGACACAGATTCTCAAGTTTCAATGTCTTCGGGCTCTCACTTTCATCCTTCCCATACTTCCCATCCTTCCCATCCTTCCCATCCTTCCCATTCGCACACGTACGCACACGGGCATGCCCAGCCCATCAAGAGTTGTCTGAAAGATTCGTCCACGCACGGAAGCGAACGAACGACCATGGGTTTGGGGATGGAGAGCCCACAATTAGGTCCAATAGCTGTGCCTATGTCCCCGTCAGTTGTTAGTAGCCATGGGCTGACGTTCGACAGTGATGGGCGGCAAAGGGATGGGCCAGTGACTGGTGAAGATGCTTCAGAGAGGGAGAGGGAGAGGGAGAGGGAGAGGGATTGGATGCTTGATGGGGGAGGTGGACATGGTGGGTTGTCGCCAGGAGATTGGAACGAGGGGTGGTCGAGGTGGAAGGTAGGTGGTGGTGGGGATTACAGCCTGAATACAGGGGTTGGCCCTGGAAATGGGTATGTTCCGAGCAGAGCGCCCTTGCCGAGGCATTCTGGGAGTTCGCATATTCCTCGATCAGGGGTTCTTGGGCGTCGATCAGTGGGGATTTCCCCGTCTAACCACGTTGAAGAGGCCAGACGCGTGTCCGCCTTCTCGACGATGGGAAAGGTAGGGAAATCGGGAATGATCGGCAAGTCTGGCATGATTGGCAAGTCTGGGATGGTTGGCAAGTCCGGAATGGTCCCGAAGTCAGGGGCAGTCGGCAAATCCGGGCTGTTGCTCGGCAAATCGGGCATCATTGTTGGGAAGTCGGGCATGGTGCGACCTGACGACATCGAGGAAGAGAAAGAAGAGGACAGTGGAGAAAGCGACGCGGAAAGCGAAGACGAGTTGCCGGACGATGTGGGGCTGTACTTGAAGTCGAGGAGCAAAAAGTGCTCGGGACGCCAACTTTCGCAATGGATCATGCTCATCACGTTGTGCTGCGCATTAGGCCTGTTTCTTTTCATCCCTCCCTTCAAAGGTTTGCGCGTCTTCCATCTTCGCGTTTGGAAGCTTGTCGTGCTTGCGATTGCCGTGATGTGTGGCCCTCTGATCTCACGCTGGATCGTCCAGATTCTCATCGCGTTGATTGGCATGCAGTATACGCTCAAGGAGAGATTGTTGTACTTTGTATGGGCAATACGAAAGCCGGTCAGGAACACTTTGTGGGTGGCGTGCATTCTGAGCACATGGCTGGTCCTATTTGATTCCCGCAACTTCAAACATCACCTGAGAGTTACGTTGGCATTAGTGTGCATCCTCGTGGCTCTTGGCATGGTGTTGGTCAGGGTGCTGGTTGTGAAATACGTTGCAATTCACTTCTACGCGCAAGCGTTCTTCGATCGAATCCAGGAGACGATCTTCGATCAGCATGTGCTGGAGAATCTGTCTCTTCCGCTGCAGGACTTTGGGATAGGCAACTGGGGGGGTCTGACGTCGGGGGACGATGTGCCAGGGGTACCTGTTCACAATGGGAACGATTCTGACAGCGATTACGAAGGCAACGGAGAGGCACCAGGAGGGCAAAAGAAAGTGGGTGCGAGTGTGGCCCGAGGCCAGGTAGGCGGCGGCGGCGGCGGGGGCTTAGACATGGCAGGAGGACCATTGGAACAGGTACCGCCGCCTCCTTCAGGCATGGGAGGAGTCGATTTGGTGCCGCCGCCAAAGCCTGCAGGCGATTTCTCAGAATCACTACAGCAGTCCAGGCCAGAACTTGTCACTGCTCCCAGCTTGGCAGGGTTTGTAACGGAGGTAGAGAAGGGGACAGCAGGGGATAATGCCTCTGGCAGTGGTGTCGGTGTCGGTGTGGGAGGAGGAGGCATGTCAACCCCCCCATCAGCAGCAGCAAGTGGAGGAGGAGGAGGAGGAGGAGGAGGAGGCGGAGGAGGAGGAGAAGCGGGCCATCCTGATGGGGGGAAGGGCGGAACAATAATCGCCAGGAGTGGGAGCTTGGTCAAGGACGTGCACGCATCGTCGGGTGATGGTGCTGGAACGGCAGCAGGAATCGCAGATGGACTGTTTGGAGAACTTCAAGGGGATTTGAAGAAGGTGGCAGATTCGGAATCTGGCGTATCCAGCCCATTGTTCGGAGTAACGCAGAAAAATGCGATTGACGGGCGTTTCTGTGATGATATGCTGAGTGAGTTTGTAGCTGTGGAGGTCGCGAAGAGTGCTGCGGAAAAGCCCAACTGCTGTGCTTCGGAGAAGAATGGGAACAGCGGTGCGGTAAGTAGGCAGGTGTCCCTGAGGACCATACAAGGGTCCTTGTTGCAGGCTGTCAGGTCCTTGCGGTGGGTAGGACAGGCGATTTCCGTAAGGCGAATCACTTCTCGATCCTACTCGCGAATGAAGGCAGACAGCCTGGGCGGTAGTGGTCGCAGGAGAAGATCTAAAGACCCCGGGGAGCGATCCATGCGGAAGCGGCGTCTTCTGAGTCTGACATCAGCTACTGTCTCTGCACGCGCAATGGGAAAGCTGATGAAATTTATCCAGCAGGAGAAGATCTCGACGTACTCCACGCTGGTGGACAACTCTGTTCAGAAAGATGGAGAGATTCAGACCGAGGCGGAGGCCAAAGCGGCTGCGTATCGCATCTTCAACAACGTGTCCCGCGCGGGCATGAACTACGTCGAAGAGGAGGACCTGTACTGGTTCCTTGAGGAGGAGGATGCTCAGAAGGCCTTCCGGCGTTTCGATGGCTGGGAGACAGGGAGGGTGACGAAGCGCGCGGTGAAGAAGTGGGTGCAGGAGGTGTTCAAGAAACGTCAGGCGCTCGCTGCATCCATCAACGATACATCCTCGGCGATTAGCAAACTGGATGGCCTCCTCACACCGGTCATCTGGGGAGTCATCGCGTTTATTTGGCTTCGCATATGGGACGTCACTAGTGCGCCTGTCGTAGTCTTCTTCATGTCGATCATAGCTTCCCTGATCGTGGTCTTCGGCGCAACCGCACGGGCAACGCTGGAAGTCGTCATGTTCCTCTTCGTCGTCCATCCTTACGATGTAGGAGATCGTTGCACCATCGACGGCGAAGAGCTGATCGTTCACGAGATCAATATCCAAAACACCATCTTTTTGCGGTGGGACAACTTGAAAGTTTATTATCCAAATGCACTTTTGAGAGAGAAGCCCATCTTCAACTACTACCGAAGTCCTCACATGTGGGATATCATCCCTTTCGACATTGCTGTGTCCACCCCTGTCGAAAAGGTCACCCGGTTGCGAGAGTGCATATCAAAGTACATCGGGCGCACGCCGGAGCATTTCCACCCCGACTTTTATCTCATGACCAGGGCCGTAGAGGAGCATAATAAGATGACGATGCAGCTGTGGGTTCAACATGGATTCAACTTCCAGGAGATGGAAAAGCGGCTGCAGAGACGAAGCGACCTGATCTTCCAACTGAAGAGCGACATGGATGATCTGGGCATTCACTACGCATTGCTGCCGCAAGAGGTCCGGCTCGCACAGGGCGTGCCCGTGCTTGGTCACTCTCAGTATATCAATCCTTTTGAGGGCTCTGGCGCTGGAGGTTCCATGAGATCGACCGATTTCCGATCGTTCGAACATAGCCGTGGAACGCCCTACCACGGTTAAAACTAGTCACCATGCCGCTTAAAACTAGTCACCCCAACCAGAATATAGAGTGTACCGTCATTTTGCCTGCATGTGGTCCAACTTCCAGTCTCCATACAGCGATTATCACCATACGTTCTATTCGGGTGAAGACGGTAGTTACCCAACTTAACCCAACCCAACGCTACGGTCGCTACCGTCTTCCCCCGAATAGAACGTACTGTCACTATAGCTGCTGTATTTGGGGCACAACTTTACGTTGACACTACTCTACTCTCTAGAACATACAGTCGCTATAGCTGCTGCTGTATTTGGGGCAGCTTTACGTCGATACTACTCTCTACATACAGTGGAAATGATGTACGTTCGATCCGGGTGAAGACGGTAGCCACATTGATCCCAGTCAACAGGGAGCTTAGAAAGGCTGTGCTGTGTGTTGTCATGTTTGTTATTACAGGCCATTTTTTTTTATAAGCGCTATGCGTAACCGCACAGAAAAAGCCAGACTCTGCCCGACTGTTTTGTCCGACTTTCTCCAGCTCGTCAGCAGGTTTATCAAACCTGTCAGTCTGCCTGGAGGATCAGCCATCCCCTTTATTCTGTGGCATGCTTCTGCTACTGCTGCTGCTGCTGCTGCTGCTGCTGCTGCTGGTATTATAAAGAAAGAAAGGGGGAGGAAGTCCGAGGAACCATTTCCCTCTCTGTCCCCCCCCCCCTCTCCCACTCCCTGCCCTGCTTCGCTTTCTGGACGTATTTCTAAAAGTTCGTCAAACAGTCGGTAACGAGCGATCAGACGGTCGGAACGAACGATCCGACGGTCGGAACGAGCGATCCGACGGTCGGAACGAACGATCCGACGGTCGGAACGAGCGATCTGACGGTCGGAACGAGCGATCCGACGGTCGGATGGAGGAAAGACGTGGAGCAGGGAACCCGCCCACCACCTGCAAATTAGGAGCACCTTTCGCAACGGCTTTGGAGACTGGAGATGTTCGTCCCTGGCAATCAGCAAGGATGTTGTCCAACCTGTTACAAGTACCTAGGAGGGGGGGCAGGGGGGGGGGGGGGKGGGGGGTCTTCTTTCCCAGAGGAGCAGTGACGGCACGGGCTAGAATTTTCATCTTACCGACTGCAGAAAATTGGTACGGTCCCGGGCCTCGTTGGCGTGGCACGACAGGACAGATTTCTGAGGTAGTAGTGGTGGTGTAACCGATTGGTTGGCAGCTCCGAGGTGGTTGTGACTCTTGTGAGGAATAGGCGCCTCAGTCTTGCGTCCGCTACTCGCCAAAAGTTGTGAAATGAGAACGAGTCTTCCGCTAGCGGACATGGAAAGATGCACGGCGATAACTTTTTCTCTTTTGTGCATGCGGTGAGTAGTGGAGCGAGGCCCTGGGTTCGGTTGGGTTATGGCAAAGTATGTGCACACATTGGCCTCAGCAGATGAGAATAGTCAGAGGGACGTGTCCGTCTGAACTGCCTGCTGCAGAGGGATGTGCAACGGCGCAGCCGATCGTGGGTGTCGGGAATGCGATAAACCGATCATAGCCGGATGTCAAACTAGCAGAGGGGTAGGAGTGAGAGAATGCCGACGGAGTATGTAGCTCGGGTTCCGGATGCGGACAAGTTCGATGTTTCCCGACTATCGACTGCAAATTGGAAAAGCACGTGCCTTTGGTTTCGGATGCAGACAAGTTCGTTTAAGCTTTGACGCGCTTTGACCGCGAACTCCAGGGGCAATCCTGCAAATGCTGGCAAAGTATGTGCCTTCGGTTTTGGATTTGACTACAAAAAAATGCTTTCGTTTAAGCTTTGACGCGCTTTGACCGCGAACTCCAGGGGCAATCCTGCAAACGCTGGCAAAGTATGTGCCTTCGGTTTTGTATTTGACTACAAAAAAATGCGACCAAGAAAGCACGCGCCTTTGGTTTTAGATGGAGACAAGTTCCAGGTCTTGCTGCGCTTCGACTGCAAATTGCAAACAATCTCCAGGGGCAATCCTGCAAGTGCTGACAAAGTACGTGCCTTCGGTTTTAGACAGAGACAAGTTTGAGGTTTGCTCACCTTTGACTGCAGCTTGCAAACAATCTCCAGGGGCAGTCCTGCAACATGAGCACACGAAGCACATGCCTTTGGTTTTGGATGCAGACAGGTTCCAGGCCTTGCTGCGCTTTCACTGCAAATTGCAAACAATCTCCAGGGGCAATCCTGCAAAAGTTTTACGAAGTGCTTGCCTTTGGTTTCGGAGGGCGCCAAGTTCCAGGTTTGCCGACCTTTGACTGCAAATCGCAAACAATCTCCAGGGGCAATCCTGCAAATTCACTATCTAATTGAATGCCTGCTTCCATCTTCGCTCAGAACCGCTATAAGCATGTCATGCTCTCATGTAGGAGGAGGAGGAGGAGGAGGAGGGGAAAGTGCGCAGCAAGTTACAGATTATGAACCTGGTCCAGATTATGAACCTGTGCAATCCTGCGAAACGCCGAAGAGTTGCGAAAGTTCTGGAGATTCTGAGCGGAGAAACCCTATTCTATGCAACTGGTACAGATTATGAACCTGGTCCAGATTACAGACCTCATGCGTGTCCTGCAAAGCGCATGACACGGACAGGGAACTTTTTCAAGTCGAATGCTACACGACACAACAGGGACTTAGAGACAACCCTAGCTACTTATGTGCAGATCACTGGTACGGTACAGATTATGGACCTGGTACAGATTATGAACCTGGTCCAGATTACAGACCTCATGTGTGTCCTGCGAAGCGTCAGGCATGTTAGCAGGAACTGCTCTGGGTCTCGGGATACAGTCCTCCAATGCGGACACAGCACGTTGAATGCAAGATGCGATTCGGTGCACGGCCTGCATGCGGAGCCATGCACTAGTTCAATGACAATTCAATTTTCCTGTTTGCCAATCAATTGTAATATTCTTTGTTCAAGTTATAAAACCGAATTCCACGTCTCATCTCCACTTGATGGGAACTCTCTCTCTCTCTCTCTCTCTCTCTCTCTCTCTCTCTCTCTCTCTCTCTCTCTCTCTCTCTCTCTCTCC